AAGTAAAATCAACGTAGAAGCCAGCAAATAGTGATCACATGACTGTGGGATTTGCCTAACAGCAGCAACTGGGACTATCACAATTGCTTTCATAAGTCTACCTTGTCCACATAACATCGCACTTTATGATTGCATAGCTTAGCAGTAGAGTGTCTCATCCAAATTACCATTGTTAAACAAGGGATTACTTGTATATGAAAACAAAAGGCACAATCACTTTTAGTGGTTATTGTTCTAAAATAATAGAAAATAATACTTAAAAGTGTCTGAGCTTGCTTATTTTCTTGGAGACATTTCAATCCCCAAACTAGGTAACATCATCAGTGCTAGTTCTGATGATGTTACCTAGTTAGACTAATGAAACATCTTCAAGAAAACAAGCAAGCTCAGAAAGCACCAAGGAGCCCTCATTTCAATCCTGAGCTACAAATACCATATTTACCGACTATAAGCCGCTACTTTTTTCCCATGCTTTGAACCCTGTGGCTTGTACAACAATACGGCTTATCTATAGATTTTTCTTCACTAACTGCCATCAGGGGGTGCAAAAACATGACAGACGCAAGAGGTCAATGCAAAGAAGAAGATGCTACCGGTAGTTTTTGGTGTGCTCGATGCAAGCAGCATGACATGCACAAACGCAAAATATTTTTCACACCGTCATCATGGAAGGTACACGAAGAAAAGCATATGATGCAGCTTTTAAGTTGAAAGCAATCAATCTGTCTATCCAGGAAGGAATTAGAGCTGCTGCATATAAGCTTGGCGTTAATGAATCAACGGTGAGACATTGGAGACAGCAGCGTGAAGAACTGATTCAATGCCAAAGGACAACAAAGGCTTTCAGAAGTCATAAAAGCAGATGCCCTAAACTTGAAAATGTTCTTGAGGACTGGGTGAACATACAGAGAGCAGACGGCCGAGGTGTATCCACCATGCAGATCCGACTGAAAGCTAAAACAATCACCAGCGAAATGGGTATTGAAGATTTTAAAGGTGGACCGTCATGGTGTTGTAGATATGAGATGAAAAGATCTGTCCATCAGGGCGTGGATGACTGTCTGTCAGCAGCTCCCTTCCGACTATGAGGAAAAAGTGGCAAACTTCCACAAATTTACTGAAACAAAACTAGCCGAGAATTCCATCGGACCAGATGACATCATAAATATGGATGTAGTACATTTAATGTTTGACCTGCCTCTAACTAGAACTTTTAATAAGACAGGAGTGTCATCCATTATGGTGAAAAAAACTGGCCACAAGAGAATGCATTTCACATGTGTTTTGAGCTGTATTGCATCTGGACAGAAGCTTCCACCGATGGTGATTTTAAAGTGGATGACTATGCCAAGAGAAAAACTCCCGAAAAGCATAGTTGTTAAAGTTAACAAAAAAGGGTGGATGATAGAAAGCCTAATGACTGAATGGCTGGCTGAGTGCTACAGTAAGCACCCAGGAGGACTTTTTCACCGGAAAAAAATCATTGCTTGTTTTGGACAGTATGAGGGCCCATATAACAGATTCTAGGAAAGCAGCCATCAAGAGAACAAACTCAACTCCAGCTGTGATTCCTGGAGGTACAACTAAGTTTTTGCAGCCACTCGACATCAGTGTGAATCATGCATTTAAAGCGGCACTCCAAGGTGAGTGGGAGGCTTGGATGACTAGCGGCAAGAAATCATTCACAAAAACTGGCCGCATGCAAAGAGCATTCTTTTCTGAGGTCTGCCAGTGGATCCTAACAGCATGGAGCAGTGTGAAAGAATCCACGATCACCAAGGGGTTTCAAAAGGCTGGACTGCTGCGTGAAGAGAACAGTGCAACTTCATCAGTAACTGTGCCTTGAGATGAAAGTGACATTGAGAGCGACACCGACAAAGAGACTGAAAAGGTGTGTGACGGAGATGTTCTGAGGCTCTTCAACTCTGACACTGAAGAAGACGACTTCAGTGGTTCAGTGCACAGGAGGAGGACGAATAAAAACATTAATGACTTTTCTGTTTTGTTTGATCAGCCATTTTACTGCTGTGTTACAGGCACCGTTTGGAAACAATTAAGGTATGTAAATAAACATTTACAAAATCTTTCTGTTTAAATATCTCATTTCACAACGTATATATCTGCGGCTTATAGTCTGGTACGGCTAATATATGTAAAAATATTTTTTTCTTTTAAAATTTAATGGTTGTGGCTTATATTCCGATGCGCTCTATAGTCCGGAAAATACGGTATTCTCCTTTATTGGTACTTAAATGTGTAGATTGCATTTGGAAAGGGAGATTGCACACAAGCATAACTCTACTATTTTGTGATCTAGCTGTATTTTTAATTAAATATTCTGTTTTTGTTCTGTAATTCCAAACACGATTCAAGAGATAACATCTTCTCCAGGAACTAAAGAAATTTCTAAATGTATTCTCAAGGAAACTCGATGCTTGGTTGAATTGGAAGAGAATGTCTAAATTCTCACATGCAAGAGACGTACCGATTAAAAGTTTGCATCCCTGATTATCAGTCCCTGCCAAACGTACCCAAAGGAACATCTTTTAAAGAATGGCATGAGTATAACTCTGAAATTGACAGACCTAATCAAAACAAATCTCCTAAAACTATCTAAAAATTAATCAAGTTAGTCACTGAAATGTCAAATATTTCCAAGTATTCCCAGAGCAACTATTCAATAGTTATGTAATTTCTTTCTTCTCTATCAATATCCAGCTTGAGCTAAATCTACCTCTGGCCATTTTAGAGCTAGATTTATGTTATGCTGAAAACTATCTTCCAATCTCGAAAAAAATTTCTATTTTTCTGTTGCATTCTCAGGCAACTTTTCAACTTTATTGAATATTTGTTTTGGAATGTCTGGGGTTCTGATGTGATGGTTGAATGAGCCCTGCAATTTTCCCTTCTGGTTGTTAGTGTGACGACTGGTCATAAGTCACTTTTTTCAACATTATTGTACTTTTGAATGGTCACTAAATGAATGCTTGCATAGCAATGAAATGCTAAGCTAACACAACACCCAAGCAAGAAATGTCAGTATTGCCCTCTTTCTTCTGAAAGACAATGAAGAGAAGATTCAGAGAGATCAGGAAGCAGGTAGGCTATGCCATGCTGGAACACCAGTGGTGATGGCAGAGGAAAGGATTGAGGAAAAATACCAGATAGCCGTTTCTTAGGATACATTGCAGGGGAAAGACAGGTTAATAGCAATAGCATTTAGACTTATATACTGTTTCACAACAATCTACAGCCCTCTCTAAATGGTTTACAGAGTCAGCATATTGCCCCCAACAATCTGGGTTCTCGTTGTACTTGAACTCGGAAGGATGATAAGCTGAGTCAACCTTGAGCCGGTGAGAAACAAACTGCCAATCTGTTGGCAGTCAGCAGTCAGCAGAATTAGCTTGCAATACTGCATTCTAACCACTGCACCACCATGGCTCTTAATGCATGTCACTCAATACTCACCCTACTCATATTTGTTTCATCCCAAATCCGGAACAACCAAAGTGATTGGGATTGAGTTCTGCTGCTCTGAAATGGCCTAATGGAATATTTGAAATATGATGCAAGAATTTAAAGCAAAATATCTTCCTCATTTTGGGTCTACTTCTTTCTTACTTATCAGGAGCCTTAGCACCCAAAATTGATTATTAACCACTTTAGTAATCATGATTTTGTTTGGTGTCAAACCTAGAGCACCTTATTTATTAAGTAAGGAGTCATATGGCACAATGGTTAGAATGCAATATTGGAAGCTAATTCTTCCCACAGCCAGAAGTTTGATCCTGACAGGAATTGAGATTAACTCAGCCTTCCATCCTTCTGAGGTTGGTAAAATGAGGACCCAGATTTTTCGGGGCAATATGTTAACTCTGTAAACCGCTTAGAGAGGGCTGTAAAAGCACCGTGATGTCATATATAAGTCTAAGTGCTACTGCTATTGATCTGTCATATTTATATTACACATGATCTCAATCAAAGCAATCCATGGCAGCTTACAGTATAAATCAAATATCATGAAGAAAACCTTAGCAAACATTAAAATAAATTAAAACTCACACTACATTAAATATTATATAAACAAAAACAATCTGTAATAAAAGCATAAAATCCATAGTAGCAATCTTAACATTCAGATATTTAGAAAGAAGCTTGTGGGTGAAAAACTAGCTTTTTACATTTTTTTCTTAAAAGGAACCGGGGGGGGGGGGGGGTTGTTTCTGAAAATAGTCCTACTGTAGAAGATCTTCTCCAATCATAAATCTGTACACTATAAAACAATCTAATTCCTGTAACCTTTCACTGGGCAAAATGGTTCAAAACTTTCTGAACCAAGATAGTCAAATGGGCTAGCTTTTAAATGTGTCAAAATCCGGGTTCCATGACTCCTGTGTGCTTGAAATTTGGTAAATTTTATAAAACATGATATGATTTAAAAATAAAACAGCTTACAACATAATACCAAATGTCACAAAACTTTTCTGATGTTTGACTGTGCTTGACTGTGCTGAATTTTTCAGGCAGGTACATCTCTGAATGTATTCCAGCTTTTCCAGTAAAAGCAGTACATTAAACGCTTGTGATTGTTGAAGGCATAGAGCAAGGATGTCAAACTTGTGGCCAGCAGGCCAGATGTATCACCAGTTGGCCATGCTCACCCCTGGTTTAGCAAGGGGGGGAGGGGAAAGCCACAATACACCACATGGTGATAATGAGTTTGACACCTGTGGCATAGAGGAATCTGGTAAGGAAATGCCTCTGCCTGAAACTTGGCTGCACAAACTAGCAAATCCACATCCGCAGGATGCAGGCAGCATGTGAAACCATGCTCCCTCAGGTCCACGGAAAAATCTCTCTCCATGGAACCAGTCCTTGGTGCCCAAAAGGTTAGAGACCACTATCTTAAAAGAATCATGAATTGTCTAGTATTTTATACAATCAACTTTTGGACTGTAAATTTCAAATGCACCTGTTACAAGCCACTATGACATCAAAACACGAAGTTATTTGCCCCATCAACACTATATAACTACCGTAACTCTAAATATGTAGATCAGAGACATGGTGACAACATTCATATTTCCATTCAGAGAAATATCCCGAAAAGTGAAAAAAACAGGCCATTATAAAAGTCTTATGCCCTGAAGAATCTTCCT